TTTACACTTTAATACATGTGTGTGTGAGTTTTTTTATTGAAGTCCCTGTCCTTGCACTACTGTATTTTAAATCATGAATGCTGTACATGATCCTTCGGTTTTCACTTAACTGCAGTTGATCTTTGGCCCTTGTGTTGTCACACTATATCTGAAAAACATATTGTAACTTAAACAAACTTTGCTGGAAATGCTGAACTTTTCAATCCTTTTTCAGCTGCAGTTGAACCACAGTTCAGAACAGAAAACAATCAACTGCAGTGTTTCTGAAAAATACTAAAGACTCACTGCTTCTGGTTTGAACGCAAATGTGCATGTGGAATATGAACATTCAAGCACAAACCTGTTGCATTAACGATGCGATTTGCACGGACTGTCCCATGAGGAGTCTGGACATCCCACTTGCCATCAGCGGTTGGACTAAGGGCGGTGACTGGGGCTCGGGTGTAGATCTGGGCTCCATACATACGAGCCCCAGCAGCCAGAGCCATAGTCAGAGAGTAAGGGTCAATGTGGCCATCTCCTGGGGTGTACAGACCTGCCAAAACCTGAAAATATACAGAAACCTTCATATAACAACACACACAATAGGCAGTTTTCCTCTAGTCTAATGAGTCTAACCATGGGGGAGCTGAGGTCAGTGAAGCACAGCAGAGACAGACTATTCACCTCTTAAGTCAGCGAGGGGATGTGTTTGTACAGACCTTGTCCATGTTGATCAAAGGGAAAAGTTCTTGGATTTTCTCTGGTCCGATGAGGAACTGTGGCGTCACATGCCAGTGTGTTCGGGTCATCTGGTACTTCATCTCATCCACTCGAACCGGCGTTGAAGCAATTCGAACACTGCCCGGCTGATGAAAACCTACTGCCTACAGAGACAAACTATATGAACGGTGTATGATCATACAAACACCCCTCCACGCAGCGAAGCCATGAAACATGAGTGAGGCACCTCACCTGTCCAGTTTCAGCCTCCAGGCTCTCGTATAGTTTAATGCTGTCATAGTGGACTTTCTTCAGGTTGATGCCTGGATGGTAATATGTTGTCAAACCCGCCTGAAATACAAACACACGAATAACCACAAAGGACAAAATAAAAATATACATCCATGACAACAATATTCACAACTTAAAGGTGGTGAGTTGATATTTTGGCCAGTTGGGGGCAGCAGAAACAAACTGTAAACACAACACTGATGTATTACAACCTTTCTCCTTTCTGGAGTCCTGTTTATATCCAGCTGATGAATGTAAAGCCAATATTCACTCTCCTTTTATCCCTGCTTTTGGTCTCTACCAACTCCCGCTGGCAACAGTTGAACTTCAGCTGCTCCGCTATGTTCAGCTGTTAACTTTTTCTGTCTTCTGTTTAGAGCTGACCAGGAAGAAAAGAGTCTGTATTCAAAGAACAGCTGCTTGCTGAGGCTGAAAATGATGCTCTGAGTGGTGAGACTGAACCAAAACAGTAACACTGTGAGCCAAAAAAACAAAACACTGAGCTAAATGGGGCTACAAGCTTTGTCGGGGTGATTACACATACTCATTTGATTGATTGTTAATATAAAAATATTGATTCTAGCCACTTTTAAATGCAACTCGAAACTAACAGAACACCGTGAGCCAAAGAGTAACAGCATATGCTGCTGCAAAGATGCAATAACAGGGTCCTTCTGCCATAAAACATGCAGACTTTGGTAGGCGTACAGCATGCCAGGTGGATCCAGCTGTCAGCTCAGATTTCTCCAGCAGCACCACATCCTTCATGCCACCTTTGGCCAGATGGTACGCCAGGCTGACCCCCACACATCCACCACCGATGATGACTGTTTCTGTAGTGTCCTTCCATTGCTTTCCCAAAACTGTGGATGCATCACTGAAAGGAAAGGAAGAGATGGATTTTGGGGCTGCAACTAAAAATCATTTTCATTGTTGATAAATCTGCCAGTTCAATCTTAAATAAACTGTTTTGTCGATAAATGGAGATAGAATAGCAAAAACAGCTAGGTTTTGTTTTTTTTTCAGATCCAGAGGTGATGTCTTCAGATGTCTTTATCTGTCTGACCCACAAAACCCAGAGATATTATGAAATCTTCACATTTAAGGAACTACAACTAACAAATGTTTGGTATTTTCCTTAAACAATGGCTAGAACTTTATGTGGCTAAATGAGTGTGTAGGTTAATAATTACAGCTCCAACATGCACACAACCTTCAGAAGTCGGTTTACAAAGTGCCACAACAAACTTGATCTGCTCACTACACGCAACCAGACATTTTGAAGTCACCGTGTTGAGCATTTAAAGCAACATATTTTAACTGTACGTGTTAACAGTTCGGTTTGAAGCCTGCATGTCACAAAGTTGTCATGCGTTGACCAGTCAGTTGTGCAGCTTTACATATGTATCTCACGGCCCCTTTCTACCCTTATTTGTGATTAATTGTCCAACTAAGCTGTGTTTAATGTCAGGTTCAGGTAGCATATGACACATTTGTGCATATAACTGCACTATCCCACCTGTTTTCAGCGTGTTTTCTTGCAGTACAGCAGATTGTCCTCAAAGGAAGTCGATCAATCCTTCGACACGCCGTTAAATCTCTTCGCAGCTGAAGAGTGACACGGTTTATTATCCGAGACATAAATAGGTTATATACATACATATATTATTTAAAACTCTAAGCTTCACCAGCTCCCTTCTCACTGGACCCCTGTACTGTGGTGCGTAGTTACAAACATCCTGCTTTCGCACCGACACTTGTTAGGACGCACACAGGTCGAAAAACGGGATGAAACTTTACCCAGATCAATCTTCAGCAGGGTTAACACCTTCTGTGCCAGAGACACCAAATGTAAGTAAGTAATATACTATTTTTTTAGTATATTACTTGTGTGGTGTAGAAGAGAATTATCTATGTAGAGATACTGCTTGCAAACCAATGATGATAAGATGATGTCATGGGGTAGAACTGGATAAGTCTGACTTCTTCCTACTCCATTCAAGCATGTACTAGGTATAAGCAAATTGATACTGGATTAGCATTTGTTAGCTGTGCATGTATTGGTTACCGTTGATTCGGTGAAATACCCGGCACTGTTCTGTCCAATGTGGGGTTTGGGGAGGAACCAGTAGGGAGAATATAAGATGGTTAACAGGTGGGTGTATCAGGGTGATGGCAGTTGGCACTGAACATGGAATTCCCTGAGGGAGTGTTGCTACTGCTTTCTTTTTCTGCTATCTTCTTTTTCCTGTGAGCATACGGTGCCAGGTATATCGCAGTTTCATTTTGCATTCTTATTCTGTTCAATAAAAGCCAAGAAAAGACAGAGAAGGTGTTCTCCTCAATGTCAGCCTAGGTGCCAGCACACAGCTGGATAGTTAGATGTCACAGTTTAGGATAGGGTCAGGCCAGCTCCGCTCATCCGAACCAGTGGAGCGCCACAATACATAGGGTTGGATAAATCAATGTTAGCAGCCAAATATTTATGTAAAAAAAAGCTCATCAGCAAGCAATAACTGGCTTGTAATGCAAATCTATTTATACTGGATGCCAACACATTTCAGGACTACCCCATCTATCAGTTATATATGGATGAAGTTTGAACTACTTCTGATGAAGCCCCTTGGATGAGAGGTGAAACGTCTTCAACCTAGAAATCTAGTCCAGTAGATTTTTTTTTTTTTTAGGTTTTTTCACCTCACTTCTGTTTAGGTTAATTCAAAATAGTTTGCATTGTGGATATCTTGCAATGAGCCTAAGTAGTTGTCTGTTTTGAACTGGATCTACCAAATTTTAAGGATTTAGTTTCTGGACACCATGCTATCTATCAAATTTCATGGTATTCCATGGACCACTCAAAAAAATGACATTGCCATCCGGAGCCTTGCCACTTGCATGATAAAAATGTGTAAGTCAAGAACAGTGTACAGAAAATTTTAAAATAATAATAATAATAATAACAAACATATACCAGTATTTTTACAATATGATTAACACTCTCAGGGGGAAAAGTGGAGTATCTTTTTCCCAAAGGTAGGACACCTGTCACAGCTGGTTACCAAATATAGGCCTACTTAAAGAGATGCGGGTCATTTTGTTCCTGTGAGGTGAAAGACCTCATTCTGTAAAAGTTGAGAATAAGCCTACAGAATCTACCAGGTAACATAAATGTGAATTTAAGAACTGTAACTCAATCTGTTAGGTAGACAGTGCCTATGCAAGTGAAGTGCCAGTTTCAGTGGTGTAAATGTGCTTTATATAAAATGAAGTCTTTTCTGTCAGAATACACATCAAAGCAACTTGGGCTACCATAACACCTCAACTGTGTCAAAGGCTGATCGCCTCCATGCCACGCCGCCTTGATGCAGTAATTAATGCAAAAGGAGGCCCAACAAAGTACTGAGGACATAATACAGTACATTAACACACTTTTCAGAAGGCCAACATGTGTTTAAGATCCTTTTTTTATTGGTCACATGAAATATTCTAATTTTGTGAAATACTGGATTTGGGGTTTTTTTTGTCTTTAATCCATAATCATCAAAATTGAAACAAATATAGGCTTGAAATATTTCACTTTGTGTGTACTGAACTAATATAACATACAAGTTTCACTTTTTGAAACAAATTATTGAAATAAATGGACTTTCCCTCGATATTCTAATTTTTGGGCACATACCTGTAGACGTCACAGTTTAGGATAGGGTCAGGCCAGCTCCGCTCATCCGAACCAGTGGAGCACCACAGTATGTCACACAGCCTTTGTAAAAGGTGTGAATAGTTTCAGTCTTTTTAATGAATTTTTCCATAATGCGTATGGGAAATCCACATTATGGATACTAATCATACCAAGCCTATCAAATTGTATTTCTCTCAGGGTAACTTGATAACATCACTCAGAGAATATTAATCTGTTTTCACCTACTAAAACACTGAATCAGCACAGATTTATTTTACACAAAAACACTAAACAAAATTTCACAATACCAACAGAACACGAGCTCTACATTTTGTGAGGTATTAGTAATTTGTCTTGTGCAAGCCTGAAGGGGGAGGACAGTAAAATAATAAAGACAGATAGATAGATGAGCAATGCGAGAGGCAGGCGGTCCTTATGGTGACATCAGGAGCACTGATACTCGGATTATAAATGCAGCATGGCTGCCTTCTCCAACCCCTTTCCACACTCAGAAGGAAGCTGTAGGTGAGAGGTGCCGGTCACTGCTGTGGTAATCATGACACCACCAAAGAAGGTAAGTTAGCCTGCATACACAGGAGATTATGTTGTATCTTGTGGCATTTGGTTCAGGTTGTGTAGGCTGAGCGCTCTGGTGCAGAATGGAGTGATTTTGCACGCTGGCAATAAAATATAACTTGTTTCACGCAGAACATTTTGGAGCGGCTGGAAGCAGGAGAGGTCGTTATTGGGGACGGAGGGTTCGTCTTCGCCCTTGAGAAGAGAGGTTATGTCAAAGCAGGGCCGTGGACACCCGAGGCTGCCGCTGAGCACCCTGAAGCGGGTACTGCTCTTTTTTTCGTTTGCTTGGAAGATTTAACAAGCGGCTGTTCCTGAGTGTCTAGGCCCGTTGTCGGGACAAATGCTGAATGAGCCGTTTTGTTGTTTCAGTGCGGCAGCTGCACAGGGAGTTCCTCAGGGCAGGCGCCAATGTCATGCAGACATTCACTTTCTACGCAAGCGACGATAAACTGGAGAACAGGGGCCACACACAGCGCTTCACCGTGAGTAAATGGGTGTGTGGGTGGGTGTGTGTGTCTGCAGCTGCTTGCAGGTCTCATCTCTGGAGGATGGCAGATTGACAGCAGAGTTAAAATAAAACCTACTGCCTGCAGCAGGGTATGAAAACTGTAACTGTCAAAGTGGAACCCACACTGTGTGTTTGGTTTGATTCCAGGGGCAGCAAATAAATGAAGCAGCCTGTGACCTGGCCAGGGAAGTGGCCAATGAGGGCGATGCCCTGGTGGCAGGAGGGGTCTCCCAGACCCCCTCTTACCTCAGTTGCAAGAGTGAGGATGATGTCAAGGCCATCTTTAAGAAGCAGATTGACGTCTTTGTCCAGAAAAATGTGGACTTCTTGATTGCAGAGGTAAACACTACTTAAAAGCGGCTGTTGATTTGGACATAAGTTGAAATGTTTGACAGTTAAAAAGGCACTTTGGTAATTCACTGTCACACTTCTATAAAGCTGACAGATGTTAAAGACTGGTTCAAACTTGAAGCAGCAGAGAGTGAGCTATTCTTACTTGATCCTCAGCAGAGGTGAAGAGTTTCATATGTGCACCTCTGGCCAGGGAGTCACCATATACCTGCCTAAAAATAGCCACATATGTCTAAGTTTGTATCTTTTAGAGTAAGGCTGCAAGCAGTCATATTACAGTCATCCTTGTAATCTGGTGTTTACTGTGCTACAGAGACTTTTGCGCCCTCACTTTAAGGCAGTGCTATAAATACCCAGGAAAATCTGCACCAAACCTGGGGATAATTAATTGCTTCCTTAAGGAGAAACTCATGGAGGAAATGTCCCTAGCCATGCTGCAGTGAGCATCAGACTCGGATGATCTAAGTTTTAAAACATCAATATGAAAGCACTCTGGGAAATCTCTATATTTGGCCATCTGACGGCAGTTTTTGAATTAATAATGTGAATACAAAAGGCCCATTACAGCTTTAAATAAGACTAATTTCATTTATTTTTGCTCACCTGAGACTAATTTCATTTATTTTTGCTCCCCTGGCTTTTTTTTTTTTTTTTTGCTTGCAGTACTTTGAGCATGTGGAAGAGGCTGAGTGGGCAGTTCAGGTTTTGAAGACCACTGGCAAGCCTGTGGCTGCAACTCTGTGCATTGGACCTGAAGGAGACCTGAACGGAGTCAGCCCTGGAGACTGTGCAGTCAGACTCGTCAAGGCTGGTAAAACTATGCAGGAGTTGGCAGATGTGACTGGTGCAGTTTTAATATTGTCCAACCCATTTATATCAGCAAGGGTAGGCTAAATAACAAGCATTTCTCTGCATACTGCAGCACAACTCAATAGCAGCCAACTACAATCTCCAGGATGATAAATACTGACTATGATTGTATAACCTAACACCTAACCCTCTCTAAAACATGATCACCTTCCTGAAGGAGGATTTAGAACTGTTGGATTAGAGAGCATTAGTTTTAGCTATAGGTGTGCCTAATAAACTGGCCACCATGTGTATATACTACTGAAAATAATGAAAATTCCATATGAGCAACAATTCTGTAGTCACATTTACATAATGGAGAAACAGTTTGCACTTAAAGTGTAGCCTGGTGATTGAAGTTTGTAATTCTGCAAGTTTGTGGGAATCACAAGAAACTGGTTTAAAAAATGGTCAGCATCAAAGCAGCAGAGGTCAATAGCCTGGCTTTTATCACCTGTGTAAGTGAAGCTTCATAAATACTGAACCCAAATTTCCCATAACGTAACTTGGCAGCATCTTTTCATGAACTGTGTTTCTAAAGCTGACATGTAAATCTCTTCCACAAAGACATATTGTATCAGGACAGTGGAAAAGATGCTGTTCTGGGCTCTGATGAAATGTGCACGTTTACTCTCTGTAGGAGCTCAGATTGTTGGTGTTAACTGCCACTTTGACCCAGTGACCTGTGTGAAGACTGTGAAGATGATGAAGGAGGGAGTGGAAAAGGCTGGGCTGAAGGCTCAATACATGAGCCAGCCGCTGGCTTACCACACTCCTGACTGCAACTGCCAGGGTTTCATCGATCTGCCAGAGTTCCCTTTTGGTATGTATTCACATTCAAAAGTGGCCTCCACATTCAATTTCTCAGTCCACGTGTTGCCTTGAAAAACAGGGTACACGCATGTGACCATGTTTTCTGACAGGTCTGGAGCCAAGGATCTTGACCAGGTGGGACATGCAGAAATACGCCCGTGATGCGTATGATGCCGGCATTCGTTACATTGGAGGCTGCTGTGGATTTGAACCCTACCACATCCGTGCCCTGGCAGAGGAGCTGGCACCTGAGAGGGGTTTCTTGCCTGCAGGCTCTGAGAAGCATGGCAGCTGGGGCAGTGGCCTGGAGATGCACACCAAGCCTTGGGTCAGAGCCAGGTAGGTCTTTTTTTTGTCACCTTTTCTCTCAAGAAGCCTCTAGTTTGGTTAAAAAAACAAACAAAAAAAAACCTAACCTATTGCTCTGTGCAGAGCCCGTCGTGACTACTGGGAGAAGCTGAAGCCTGCATCTGGTCGTCCCTTCTGCCCTTCCATGTCCACACCTGACGGCTGGGGTGTCACCAAAGGCCACGCTGACCTGATGCAGCAGAAGGAGGCCACGTCTAAGGAGCAACTGGAGGCTCTCTTTGACAAGGCCAACAAAGCTCACTGAGCTCCCCTCTGAGGCATCCATTTGTGAGGAGAAGCCAAGGTGTGGCGTGTGAGGCATACTCACACATTCCCTGAAGTTTACATACCAAAACAATATTGAAATTGCTGAAGTTTGTCGGACCATTTTACTGTTTGACATTAGCTGATATTTCAAATAAGCTCTCCAAGCTTTCCAGATTTAAGTAACAATGAGTGGCTGTTTCGGGAAGACAATCACATCTGTGAGCTTTGAGAAATCACTGTGCCTATAAAGCTTAAGTTTTGCACTTAAGTTCCTGATTTCTTACAAAAGAATTTGGTTATGGGTTTTGTCTTTTTAGAGAAACTTAAAGCATCAGCAAATCAGATGCAAATGTAATGCCACTTATCATCTGACTGCACTTTTTTTTTTTAATAATCCAGTGGCATAAAAAGAATGGAAATGTAATTACCTTTCAGCTGAGTCTGATAGTTTGTATTTGATATTGAAGCTTTATTTTATAAGATGCAAGGAGGAACTGCAACATGTTAGCTCATGCTGTTAGCTGACTAAAATAGTCCTATTTTCATCCAGCTAATTTGGTTGTTGAGGATTGATTTATCATGGGTAACAGTGTGCTCTTATTTTGAAATATAAGCAGAATGTTCATTACAGTTGTATGAGGCAAGTGTTGGGAATCTGGCAATAAATGTATGAATCTAAGTCTTATTTTGTGACTCTGCACTGTAACCTGTGTCATTTATTTTAGTTTGTGCTTGCACTTTAAATATTAAATGAAATTATAGATATTAGCTGTGAATATAGTCAGATTGCACAGAGTAGACCACTTATGAGTCAAAGTCCCATAAAAGCAGTTTAAATTGCATAAGCAATTTTCAGTGGAGTGAGTTCTACAGTCAGTCATTTTATAAGTTTTAGTATTCAGATAAATTCCCATTTTAATGTTCTGGTTCTATTGGTCTTAACAGTAAGTTTGCTCTGTGTCTACCAAACTACTTTGGGATTGGTTCCTTTTTAGGATACCAACTTGTTTTGTTGTATATTTTATGAAGTATCAGTATGGGTAACACTAAGATAAATTATTACAGATCATTTATTTCTTGATTATAAAGAGCTGTTTGACAGTGAGTTCATGTAGGTGGTGGTTCACCCTAAAACGTCTTCATCATGATTCAGCTAAGAGTCAGTAAAGTGGTTGTCATACTGTCAACAGTGAAGTCTGGATAACCCAGCTATCCATTCTACCAAAATGTGTGTACGTTAGATTTAAAAGCAAGACAAACTTGACATGGACTACTGCTGCCATGTAGTGGACATAAGAAAAAATCTTAGCTGCTACTGTAAATTGTGTGAGTCAGCAGGTGTTTCCACACAGAAAACAGTCAGAGGCTATGATTTCTTTGATTTTGTTTTTAAAGTGGAAGTCCAGTGGGAATTGTGATTTCCTGTGATTCTTCAGTTGATGTATTTGCCTAGTGACATGGAAATATTGAAGTGTGATATTACACCACCGGTAGACTAGTACAGTATGTGTTCTGTTTCACTGCCATTTGGTATCGATTACCTGTGGCCTGGTGGATAGCCTCCATTATCACCTTCAGAGGCAAACCTGGTATCTTCACATCAGCCTGCAGGTTAAATAAAGGAAAAGAAAACATGGACTTAACATTGAGAGGACAGCTGTGATGGTGGTGATATACTGTTGGGCAGGGTGCCAAGTGAGCACTCATCAAGTGCCAGCAGCCGTTAAAAATCATCTTTGGCAGAGAGAGCATGAAGGACAAACACATGTCAGCGGTGTGGCCTTTTCCTTATCACCAGTGGCCACTGGACAGTGTTTTGTATTCCTATCACGATCCTGTCTGGCAGGAAGTAATAAAGTGTCAACACAGTGTGACTGTCTCATAATAAATAAACTTAAATTAAAGCTCCAAGTATGCTTTGGTCTGCTCTCCAAATCATATTTACACATCACTAAAAAAGGACCAGGTGAAATATTTCCATGAAAAAGTAATATGTTTACTTGGTTTTCTTGCCCTTTTCAGCCACAAAGTGAGTCAAAAAGCTGACTTTAGACATGTGTTATGAATGACAGGACTGAGTACCTGTAAAGCAATGATGCCCTTGTTTGTTCCTGCCAATTTGTCTCTTTAGCTCTTCCATGTCTCCAAGATAATCCTCTATTCCCTGTTCAGAAAAGACTAATTAGCTCATATTCAAAATGTCCTCTTTAATTAAGCAGGAACATCAGTTATAACTTTAGGAGGATTTGTATTGCTCAACGACACTCTTTGTACAGTTGCACTGTATGTACCAGGATATCAGTTAGTAATCTGTAGTCTTGAATCTCAGCAGGTTTCTCTGGGTTGGACTTAGAAATGAGGCCAACTGCTACCCCTGCCACAGCAGAAGAGATGGGCACACCTAGGATACACAGATTTGGACATATTAGCTACATGTTAATGCACGATTGCACTTTACTAAATGTAAATAGAAAAATGCTTAGGCAAAATCTTAACTCCATCTATCCACCTTTAAACCACGGTGTCTAGTTGCTTTGAACGACATAAACTATGAAAAAAGCCTTTCTATTTCTTAAACGTTTAACTAAGGTACATGGAATTATTGAGCATATAATTATTGATTGTTTCCACCTAATATTCATTTTTAGAAATGCTACACAGAACTGGCTGTTTTACTATTAAATCAAATTGTAGCTGTAGTGTTAAAGTTGACTAAAAATAATAAATCTGAACCATTTTATTACAGATGTTAAACAATACAAGCTTACGCATTCCCTCTCTGGTACCTGGGTCCATTAAAGCATCCTGAGAGCAGAAGACAAAAAAGACCAATAGATTTTCACTGTAACATGCTACTATCTGAGACAACCTGCCAGTCAATGGTCTAATTTCCTGTGGTGCCTGTAAAAACTTTAACACATTAAAAACTGTGTGCAGACTTACCGTTGGACTCCAGGACCTCAGCAGTGACCCTGATAGTGAAAGGGAAGTCTTTAGGAATGACTGGTCTCAGTCCCTTCTCAGCCAGGGCCCCTGGGACATGCAAACAGTCTTTGACCATGTGGCTCTTGATGAAGCAGCAGTTAGCTATAGATGATGTCAATTTTAATACAAACCATGACCCAGCTCCCTCCTTTCCAATCTCATTAGTTGCATACAAAGGGAACAGAATTTAAAGACAGCGTGAGTTTAAGTTCACCTCAAAGGGACAGAGACTCGTATATTTAATAATGTATGCAAGTTGAAAAATGGAAACAGGATTTTACTCACTTCGTAAGTTGTTATCTTTAATGCCACTGCAGAGAGAAAATGACAGTATGAGTGTGGCTAATTCTACCTCAAAGCAGTGGTGATAATATCTGCTTTGATACTGGATTCCAGTGAGTCAGATGTGACACTGCACAGCACCTACAGGAAACAGAGGTGAATGAGCTTTCTGTAATCAAAGACTGCAAAACCCACATATCTTGACTGTTCTCCCTCCTCCTGCTATGATAGTCATGGTCAAAACTGCAATATTTTATCTTTCAAAATTTTAGAAAGCTGCAGCAAATATCTTTGAAACAGCTAACTTAATTTTTTTTTATGCAATATAAAATATAATTCACCTTTAAGGTCCTCTTCTGTCTAGTCGAATTTTGTTGATCGCTTCATCTCTTGAAATCTAAAACAAGATTATGATAACATTACTACAGTTATTGATGAAGTGATACGGTAATCTTCTGAAATACATATACATCTCTATATCACAGAGAAGACAAAATAGTGATTCAGTCATTCTGGCTATTTTACTATCCTACAATAGTAAACTGAACAGTTACCAAGATTGGTTCTAAACAGCGCCATGAGGTGTCAAGAGAAAGCTACTGTAACACCAGGACATGACTGAGTCAACATATGAGGACGAGAGGTCACATTTTACCTTATCGTGAGAATACTCAGTAAAAACAGCATAGATCCTCTCAGAAGCTAATCTGCAAGGAAGAAAATGAAAAACAAGTTGTTACTAACATCTATAATCATCACTGACAGTCAGAGTCACATGATAGACAAGTGTTGTATTATGCTATCATCAGAGTGAAGCAAAGCCAATTACTAGCCTGTGATACTGAGCTTAAAATGACCAATGCTGAGAATATCTGTGGTGATGACATCTACAAGTGAGTAATTTATACTGTGTTTGAGAGCGACAGCTGATCAACCCACACAATCTATACAGTTTATATCATTTTGTGTGGACAGTGTGATTCCCATTAAGGTTGTTTATGTGTACCTTTTTTGCAGTAAATAAACACTCAAGCTTCTGCTGGGAGTTTTATTGCATTTGTCAGCTTACCCACTTGACTGCTGGGGGCTCCAGCCACAATCAGGTTAAGGCTGCTGGAAGTCATCTCTACCCTGGTGGGATTGATCACCAGCTCTCCATCTACCATGCCCACACGCACGGCACCTGCAAAAACACAAACACACAAGTGGTCCTGAGCTAAGTTTAAACAAGTGTATGATAATATCACAAGAACTGAAGTTGAACTGACAAATGAAAACCAGGATTTGAGGCCATTTTGTTCATCTTTCCCAGGACTCGAGAACATCAACTCGTCTCGGGGAGCGATTCGTTCCTTTTGTATTGACCGCGCATGCGCAATATCGCATAAGCTTAGTACACCTTTGGAGTCGTTCCTTTTTGTTACGTGAACGCTTTGTTGGATACAGAAATTAGTTCATTTTCAACACTCCTTACAGTTTTTTTGTACTCTTACTGTAACGTGATGCATTTATTCTTATTATAAAATAACTTTTTATTTCCTACAGACTATAATTTTGTGAATGTCTGTCAGTATGGTTCTTTTCCATAACACTGAATGTTTTAATAAAGAGTTGGTTAATGCTTTAAACTTCATCAGGGAAAATCTTTGTGTCTTTGTTTGTTTGTTTTGCATAAATGAGCCATATTCTCTTCTTTTTGTTGCTTTGACACAGCTGTCCATGACGTGAGGAGGAACAGGTCCCTCATGTAGGGAACCTTTGATGTAGAAAGTAGCCTGAAACACACAGGTTGGACCAGGGAACGCACACTAGTCTTATATTAGGCCTCATGCAGGAACATTTTGTATTGTTATCCTAAACTCCTTGTACTTTTTCTGAAAGCTTTTTCCAAGTCGAATTCACCAAACTCTTTAAACTAAATTGCGTGAGGTGTATTTCCCTCAGTATTGAAATATTCTTTTAGGAGCCCATCCTGATGTAATACTGCCATAGACCATTATTTGCCCTAGTAAGGTTTTCTGACTGTAGCAGCAGATAGTTCAACACTTGGCCCAGTATCACAATGACAGCCTTTCTGATCGTCAGACTCTTTCTGTGTCCGTGTACATTGTTAATGTATCTTTAAGTTTTAACTGTGTAACATTTTGTCTTAGGGTGTGTTAATGGCTGGCCCTCTGGGGACAGGGAAGACCATGTTGGCAAAAGCTGTGGCCACAGAAAGTAAAACTACTTTCTTAAAATGATGGTCCTCGCTGCCACCAGCTTCTCCTGGGACATCGGCGTTACGACGGCTAGAGAAGAGCATCTACATACCCCTGCCCACAGGTGACCTCGCCACCGACAGAGTGATAGCACCACAAACTGTAGTATAGTGTAGCTGCAGTGAGTTTTATTCACTCACCTAACGTATTTATTGTACCATTCCTCTTAAATTGATGTTCAGATATCAGGTACTAATATCTGATTAATACTGTGGGTCGCAAAGAGCTGCTAATGATCAGTCTGAGGGAAATGGAACTGGCTATCGACATGGACCTGGACCTCATTGCAGAGAAGACTGAGGGATACTCTGGGTTGGACATCACCAACGTCTGCAGGTGTGTGTGCAGTATTTTGCAATACCATGCTGAAAATTGAGGTGTATGTGACTCATTAAACACAGAACAAGCTAAATTTAAGTTTCAAGTTTTTGTCATTTTACAGTTTTTTCTTGTGAATTTCCAACATTTCTGTGGTCCATCCTCATCAACTGTCTCCCCAAATACACCCAGGATCTTTTTTTTTTTTTGACTACTTTGGCTCACACCCAAGCATACATGCACTCACACAAGCTCAGATTCAGACAATCTTTCAAATAGTTAAGAATAAATGTATTAATGTAATATGTGATTAACATCACTGTTGCAGTGTCACACATGGTGTACACAGAATACTGCTGTGATTATTGTAAAGTGTGAGCAGTCTTCAGAATCTGTGCTTTAACATTAACACTGTAATGGCTAATTGCAGTCTAATACTTTGTTTAACACTTACTGTCCTGTTCTTGTCATGTGGATGCTCTCTATCATAGCTACGGTGGGAATGCCAGGTATTCTGTGTTGCGTTGTTTCATTGACCTTGTATGTGTGTAACTATCACCCGCACACAGCCTGCGGGATTTCATCACATCCTGGACTTCATGAGTTTTGACTGGAATAAAACTCTTCTGACGTGGAACAATAAGTGTGTGTGCTATGTTTAGAGAATGAATTTATCAAACTGTATATGATGAGTAACAGCCCTCTCTCCCCTGTCTCTCTCTGCTACTGTTTTTACATAAACATCAGGGATGCATCCATGATGGCGATGCGCCGTCGAATACAGGACTTGAGTCCCGAAGAGATAGGTGATCTGTCCAAAGACGAGCTGCAGAGGCCAGTGACCATGGAGGACTTCACCCTCACACTCGACAAGATCTCCAAGTCCGTCTCTGCCGCAGACCTGGAGAAATATGAAGCCTGGATGGCTGAATTTAAATCAATATAGGGAAACGTAGCCCCTTCATAAGTTTATCTTTGCTTCACTATCTTTTTGCCTGTTTTGCATTTGTTTGTGGTCATTTTGCCTTGTTAGGTATTTTTAGTCAGATAGAAATTGGATAGATACTTTATGTATTAGAAATGTTTAGTGGAGATAGGATGTCTAGTTAGACTGTTAAATGCTTAGTCATGCTTATGAGTTTCTACAGGGTACATCTGGTCAAGGATAACTAGAGAGAAGAGTTGAGGACTGTCAGCAGACAGGGTGTTTAATATTATTATTATGACGTGTAGAACTGTAGCCTTAGCCATAATATGTTCTTATGTTTAAGTCACGACATGTACTAGAGGTCGTGAGAATGTTTTTAGTTACACACCACTTAATCAACAGACACACACACACACACATTGATTTGCTTCATGTTTTGACTACTACTATGGCCAGCTGCAAAGATGGTAACAGAGACGCCCCGGTTGACGTTTCTGTGTAGTATGGGGCTAGCCCAACCGAGGGGATATAATGTATAGGCCTGGTGGGTTCAGGGTCTTTCATCTTACATCTGCCTGCGAGCAGTTTGGAGGTGCAAGATACCTGAGCGTGTAATGTTAATTTTACCTGTGATCCTTTGAATAAATCAGCACTGTTTTGAAGTTACTTGGACTGTCTCGTCTCTCAGAGTTAGCAATGGTAACAAGAACCAAAGACCAACAGCCTCTATAAAAATGTTTTATCACTTTGTCATTGTTTTCGCTCTTTCATTTTGCATGTTTCTGTATTCAATTTGTCTTTTTTATACAGTCGTTTTGTGTACCTACAGAATAAAAATAACCTAAAAAAAAATGCCCAATCAAAATAAACGCATTAATCAGAGATGTTGTTAAAGGCCTGTGAATACGAGTTTTAAGGGGTGGTCTAAAAAACAGGTTAAACCATCATATTTACAATTCTCTTCATTGAACGTAAACTTATCATCTGGGGGGGAAGGGTGCAGCGGTTAAATCCCTCCCCGGATTTGGCCAACACGCACGCATCTCGTCTGCTTGTAAACAGAAGCTGACACGTGACACTGAGAGCGGAGCTGCGAGACCGCATTGTTTGCAAGCGGACAAAGAGCGACACACTGAACCCGGACAGGTGAGCGGACAGGTGTCATGACAACCGACGATATCGCCGCCAAAATGAAGCCGAGCTCTCCATTTCGGTTACACGGCTGTGTCCGACGAACTTCTCCATGTCTGACTCCCAAATCCGACCGTTTGGAGGGATAACGACGTCAGCTGCGCTCTCGCACGCTCGCACGCAACTGGCGGCGTGTAAACAAAGCTGGGAGTCCTTTGTTTCTCATTACAGTTTAGTCCGTTAGTTCGTCTACGCCAAGTTTTACTTTTCTAGCTGGCGGCTAACGTTAGCCAAGTGGTAGCTAGCTGTAGCCTTTAGCCTCGACACAGAGGAGGTTTTTCTAGCTAACGTTAATCCACGTATCTGTTTTACTGGCTGGATGAGATGTCATTCACCATGGAGGATCACTTGGAGTCCGGCTGGGTGTCCGTCCGGCCCAAAGTCTTCGATGAAAAAGAGAGGCACAAATTTGCTTTCATCGTGGCCTGGAACGACATCGAGGGAAAGTTCGCCATAACCTGCCACAACCGAACTGTTCAGAGACGGAGCACTTTTCTGGACCCGCTCCTCGACTGTAACCCCTCCGCTACGCTTCCTGCCTCCGATGCCTCCGTGGCAGAAAAACAAACAAAAAGTTCAGGCACGACGAGGAACGATGCGGGTAAAATTAGACCACATTCCATCCCCAAAGGAAAACCCGCAACGAAGAGTGTTGTTGGAGATAAGAAGGGTTTAAAAGCCGGTAGTCCAAAGACATTAGAGTGCGTCAGTCACGCATTAGAGTCCTGGGATATTGTGACACCCAAAGTAATAGACATCGAGATCCTGGACCCCGTAGATGTCCTGCTCTCTCCAGATGATGCAGACCCAGGGGATGGTGAGTCCAGCGGCCGTGAGGACTTTAGCTGGGCCGGGTTGTTCTCCTTCCAGGACCTGAAGGCAGTCCACCTCCAGCTGTGCGCCGTTAACTCGGATCTGGAGCCGTGTTTACCCTCATTCCCGGAGGTGCAGTCCGGCGTGTGGACGGTGCTCTTCGGTGCCCCCGGGCTGTCGCAGCGGGAGACGGACGCCTTGTGCTACCAGCTGCAGGTGTACCTGGGTCATGCCCTGGACACCTGCGGCTGGAAGATCCTCTCACAGGTGCTTTTCTCGGAGAGCGACGACGCGGAGTACTACGAGAGCCTGAGTGAGCTGAGGCAGAAAGGCCATGAAGATGCGCTGGAGCGGGCCAAACGACGCATGCAGGAGGTAAAAGCTGTCATCTTTGTCCCATGTAGTTTTGAAGAGAAGTCGTTTACTTCATGAATGAAACATATAAAGCCTTTATTAGTTGATGCGTGGTAATAAAAGCACCTTTACACTGTTGAAGGTCAGTTCTGTTTTATTAGAAATGACAAAAATGTGAAAGAAAGTCACGCACTTGGTAAAGAACTCCAGGCCTCTTCAATCAAACTTGTTCCCATTGATATTTTTCAACTTTTGCAGTTTAACCATGAAACAGGTATTAAATTATGTCCTGTGTTAGTATTAAAGTGAAACAGCAGAAACCATGAGACCGATCCTATACATCATGCTGTTTTTTTATCATTCTCCTCTTCCTTTGTCCCCCCTTGTGATGTGCCATCTCTTGGTGCACATTCACAGGCCTGTAACATGATCTGGTCAGGCCAGACATCACAACCCAGTTGGCTGAGTGGTTTGCAGGGGGTTAATGTAAAAACAGAGGAACAATTGGAGGTGGAGTCACAGTAAGAAGTGATGTGTCACCACAGATTGTTCAATTGTTAGTCCAGCCAGCTGAAGACGTGTATTGTGCTCAAAAAGTATTTGAGAAGCTATTGTTTATTCTCATTCATGAGCAGACACCAGTGATAAACCCAGACTGTGAGGTCTAAATAAAATCATGGTCAGGATCGGTCTCTGTGCTGGAGAGGAGACAAAACCTCAGGCGATGTCTTTCCTCTCCTCTGTTGTTCTGCTGTGATGTCTGTCACATTGTAGTTTAGTGGGACAGTGTTGTAGCTTTGTGTTCCCATGACGTGATCCACCCTGGGCTGTGCGGGTACTTTTTATTTTAGTTACTAGCACATAGATCCTCATGTGTACACGGCATATGCACACGTCATCTGCTGTATTGCTGAGCTGAAAGCAGTACTGTCAAGAGCTGCGACAGTTAGTTGCAATAATTGATTAGTTTATCAACAGAAAATTAATTAACAGCTATGTTAATAAACCATTAATTGCTGAAATACTTTCTTGAACATAAATGAAAAACACTGATGGACATTTTTTATTTCCTGACATCTTATGGGCCAAACACTTAATGCAACAAAATCAGCTATTTATTTTATATATGAATCATTTGGTGTATAAAATGTCAGAAAATGGTACAAAAAGCCTGTTACAACACCATGAAGCTAAAGGTTATGTGTTCCACTTCTGACCAACAGACCCACTATTTAGTTTACTATCATATAAGACAGAAAAGCAGCAAATATAATGTTTTCTGAACAGGGTGGTACCTGTAATAGATGCCAACTATTGTCTGTGAACCATACGCACGTGTTTTTCTCCTGTTCCTGACTGTCTAACTACTGGTGGCTTTTTTAAAATCTCCTGAAAGATATTTCCCAGTTCTTTTAACCAGGAACTCAGAGAGACGAGGCGGACCACTTGGATATAAAAAATAACCGTGCTGGTTTATTCAAAAGATCACAGGTAAAATTAACATTACACGTCCAGGTATCTTCACCTCCAATACTGCGTGCAGGCAGACTGAGAATGAAAGACCCCGAACCCAACAGGCCTGTACATTATATCTGGTTTGGGCTAACCCCATTCTACACAGGCACGTCAAACCGTGACGTCACCTGATATGCCAGCTTGCAGCTGACCATAACAATAGTCAAAACATGGAGAAAATCAATGTGTGTGAGTGTTGATTATGTGGTGTGTATCTAAGAACATACAGGACATTCAGGGACATGTCCGGACATTGAGCCTCGGAAGATATTATGATTAAGATTACGGCTAAACATATCATACAGTAGCCACTTTCTATCTAGTTATCCTGGAACATAAACAACCTGGAGTAACTCCTGGAAATGAGTAAGCATTTAACAGCCTGAGCTAGACATCCTGTCTACACTAAAGACATTTCTAATACAACAAGTATCTAACCAATTTCTATCTGACTAAAAAATACCTAACACTCCAAAGCTCTTAAAACTTAAAACTCAGTCCTCTCATTAATTATTACTGCATTGGAAAAGCCCAGATCCTCCCAACTGTACTAGCAGACATTTCTCATTCTTACATTTAGAGACTGTCAAATACTCTACGTATAGCCTAGGTTGATGGCTCAACCAGTTCGCAGCCACCCCTGTGTTTTTGTTTTTATTTCACTCACCTGGTTTTTCTTTTACTATATATATATATAAATAAATGTCAAGAGAATGTAGATGTAATCACTGTGCCATTAGGTGTTGGCTTTTGCTTATGTTTTAATAAAAAAACAAGGGTTAGCAAAACAGAAAAGAAAAGCAACAAACTGTAGTGAGAAGCTAGAACTTGGAAAATGAGTGAAACCGTTAACTGATTACTAAAATAGTTGCTGATTATTTTCTGTTTACCGACAAATTGTCCCACGTCTACAGAGTGGACACACTTTCCCGTTCAAGTCAAGGGGATGATGTGTGCAGGCGTTTGACTGGTACTGCATGTTGCTGCTCTGGGAAAGCTTCAGAGATTGTGAATAGAATGAACCCACATTGCCTAAAGCATTTCTTGCACTAACTTTGAATTAGCATAGAGCGTCACCCGAGAAAGACGTGGCATTCCCTTACAGAATTATTTTACAGCTCTTAAGTAACAAAGGAGCTCAGGTCACAGTCGAGACGTGTTCTTCCTGTGAGATGTTTGTTTCAAAAAGTCGTGCAGCCAGACGGAGCAGATTTAGCATGGACAGGCTGATGATAGGGCTGGAGCGGCCATACTGTAGCTCAGATCACTCAGCGCGTCCTCTGATTATGTACTCATTGCACATTGAAGGGTTTTCACTTAACAGTTAAATTAAGCAACAGAACATTTAGTTTTTAATTATATAAGTTTGGAAAGTGAAAAAAGTACATTTACTTACAGCCACCCTGTAATTTAGAGATAGTTTTGTTCGGAAAAAGAGTCACTTCTGAGAAGCTGGAACTGGGGAATATTTGACATTTGTGTTTGTAAACTGGATTAAATGATTAATTTATCCTGCGACTTTAGAGCAGCAGCTCTTACCCTTAACACCGTCAGGCTCTGTGGCTTCTTACTCTTCATACACTGTCACAAACAAGTAGATTTGACTATGTAAATTTAATCACAGCAGAAATAAGGATGTTGTTTTATACTCTAAAAAGATGCCCTTGTTAAATGGAAGTGGAAAAGGAAAATGTCAGTCTAGTGTCAGTGATTTACTCTGAAATTCTCCAGCACTTAAATCTCTAGAATAAGGTTTGCTGGAATCCAACTGTACAAGTTAAAATGATACAAATGCCACCAGTTTTGTGGTTTGTACCCAGGCAGGAGTCGGCTCATTTAGGCCAGGGGTTGTCTTGGCTCAAAGCGGAGCTGGTGCACAGTCGGCCACTGGTTTCCAAGGAGACATAGACCCAAGGTAAACAGTAGGAGCAGTGTTCGAGCTGAATCATGCAGTGTCTGCCCCAGTCCCCAACATGGAGGGCTCTGGAAAAGCAGTGTGAAGTTAATATAAGAGTCTGTTCATATCTGTAGCTCTGTGTAGAGAGAAGAGCACTTTATTCACCACTTTGGATGAAGATTGGGTGGTGGTACATTTCAATATTATGCGAGACAGAAGTTAAGGAGAAGCACTGAGAGCCGGGACATTAATGCTTGTATGCACAATAGCTGTTGTGATAGCGTTTATCTGCTGAACAATGAACAGTCTGTGCACGGCTGGACATATGGTATGAATCAGCATCAGCTGGGGCCAATTAGTTCTCACTGTACTACACTCACACAGTGTACTTTATGGTATCATTCCTGACCACACACGCCACTGTGCCTGCACTCTCATGGAGAGCCTTTACTCTTGCTTTTATAAAGTAGGCTGGAATTTTCCTTCATCTTTGAAATAGGTTTTGTTTAAGACTTAATCATCAGTTTGTTAGTTAGACGTATGTTTTGCCAATTAAACTTATCATTGTTGGCATCTCGTCTTTGTGAGTGAGCCTTTTCTTTTCTTTTTTTAATGCAAGTTATGCTATTAAATAAGCTGTTTTTGACACTTTTTATGGCTTTATGAATTTGCCACTCACTTGGATGCAGATAAGTCGGGTGATATTTTTCTAGTTGTCGACATATCCCATGAAAATACCAAAAATGACAATATATTTGTCCTACTGTGTCCGGAAATTATTAAAAACACATCAGGTAGTCACACCGTTACTGTGATGACATGTTCCTTCATCAAGTCAACATGGGCGCTGTAGCTTATTTTGAGTCCAACCCACCTGCACCATCCTTTTACTACTCCTTCTTGCCAGAGCAGCAGATATGGAGCTGAAAATATTCTCCAACAAATAAACAATTTGAGTGAGGTTTAGTTTGCATGATGTTCACTAAAAACAAGTCTACAGGTAATATAAAGTTTATGCTTATATTTTTATTATGTGGTTATTTTTGTCTTATCCAATAATCACTAGTTATTTTTATTGATCAATTAATTGTTTGTCAAGCTTAAACAGTGACAACAATGCTAAATACTCTGCCTCAAGACTGTCAAGTGAGGGGATTTGCTGCCTTTCTTTGCTATAAATCACTGGAAACAGAATATCTTTTAAAATCGTCACCTCTTTCTCCGCAAAGTTGTGACGGGAGTTTGACCTTTTTTTTTTTTTTTTGTATGTTTCACAGAATAAATCCATGAATCAAAAAATCGACAGATGAATCTAAAATGAAAATAACTGTAAGTTTGCAGCCCTGATTGTCAGTCTGTTTACGAATAGGATCTGCTACATCTCTGCACTCTCTGTTTTGTCCCAGGTGTTGGACAAGCACAAAGCCATGGACAGCATGGTGGAGCTGCTGCAGGTGTACCCCGAGGAGGACGGGGCGTATGGAGAGCTGCTGGAGGCAACGACTCAGCTGTACCACTTTCTGCTTCAGCCTTTCAGGGACATGAGAGAACTGGCAATGTTGCGTAGACAGCAGATTAAGGTAAAACACACACACACACTGATATAAATACCATCTGTTTTAGAGTTTGATTTAAGCAGGCTTAGACCTCACTGTAGTCAGCTAACTGGTCTGTCCTGAAACACACTTTGACTTGTGTCAGGCTGCTTCTCTACTACAGCACACTGTGCAAGTTACAGTGCTGCGTCTGTTGGCTGCTTGTTTTAAAAGTTAAGGTTAGTGCTGGGAAATGAGCCCTGAACCCGGTAACGTCCTGCACTGAGCCTACTCTAAGCCCACTGTTATGACATTAGCATTAGCTGCTGAGGCTGCGTGTGGTGTAGTAGCCAATCTGTGCTAGCCTGTAGCTCCAGGTTGTAGGGCACAGGGTCAGCCAGAGAGGCTTTATGCCCTGTCGAGAGCAGCTTAACAACCAACATGAGCATTATTACAGCAGCCACTAAATCACTCTGTAATTCTGCAGCTTTAGCACACACTTCTGTTTTCCACTCCACTCCGTCTATGTTGGGTTCCTTCATTAGTGGCTTGAGAAAGGAAGCGAACCAGTAGACTGATCTCTCGCAGCCTTCACAGAGCTGGGTTCAGTGTTAGCACAGGCCAGGCAGGGTCAGCGGGTCAGAATTCCACTTGCTCCTTGTCCACTTGTTTAACAACCCAGCCTGAGGACGTGACACTGACTTAAATCATTTACTAAAAAATATCTTTGATAATACAGTAACAGAGAGGATGGATTTTTTAAGTAAAAATGAACAATTTCACAAACATCCAGCAACAAAACCAGACAAAAGAAAATATAATTTAAACATGGTAGATTTTATATTTTTCAAAGTAGCCACCTTGTGTTTATAGATACATAATCATCATCACCATTTTGCATTGTTGTTCACCTGTAATCTCTGCAGCTAAGTTTTGTGTTGTGCGCTTGTGCACATCCTCACTGCTTTTTTTTTTGGCCTCACTGTGGGGAGTTTGAGAGCCCAAATAGAATATAAATGAGATATTTAAACACATGATGGACAGTAAGAGTGTTTTCAGATACAAACCTGTACTTCCAGTAAGCACAGTGTACAGGTGTGTCCATTCCACATAACTTCAGATGGTCTGAAAACAGTGAGGGAAACGCGCCAGTGGCAAAAATAAACAATGTTATCTGCCAGTGAGAAACAGCAGAACTTTGCCGAGGCCTGTGTTGTGTTAGACCATCCTGTGCCGACACAGTACTGAGTGCTGGACCCACGCTGCCCCTATCTCTGTCTGCGTCTCTCCTTCTCTCTCACCGATAGCCCCAGTCATTCACCCTGTGTTGTGCTGGGAGTACTCTCCCTTCTCTGAACTACACTCCTTAAACAGCTTGCTGAGTGACCAACACAAGTAACAGTCTGGGTGTGTTCATGACTATGTATTATGATGGAATTTGGGTTCCTGGGCGGGTGCTGAACTAAGTTTAGAGATTTTACTGAATCACCAAAATATATGTAGGATTTTTTTTTTTCTTGCAGGATAAGTTTGGTGATAGTTTGTATTCTTGTTATTATCAGTAAATCCCATGAAAATACCAACAATAAAATGATCCTACTAACAAGTGTCATGTGTATGCAAAGGCCAACATATAGTCACATGTTGCTGTGTGCCATAGAGCGCCACATCAGGGAGCCACATTGTTGCACTGGGTGCTGGTTTACTTCTTACAGTGAACATACACTGTAGAGTATTCTATATCTGAAAATGGTCACCTAAAAATGCACATTTACATTTGTAGGAAATTGTTTAGCCTTTTTTTTTTTTTATCAAAGTATACTGTATATTCATGACCTGTTTTTAAAGATTTACTAGTAGGAATGAACTGAGAGCCACAGACAGGTTATGGAAGTCGAAAAGTATTGATAAACGGACTAATACTGCACATTATTGGTTTGGGTCTTTTTACTGGATTTGTTGATGGTGAGGAAAATATAAAATTAATCATTTTTATTCATAAATCTGTAGATAATTTCTCAATTTATTGAAATTGAAAGTTAATCTTTTGTGCTGTGATGTGTCAGAGAATAGATAAATTGGAGGTATGGGCTTTGAAAGAAGTGGACATTTAATGAAAGATACCTGGAACTGCATTGTGGGAATTGTAGTAACCAGTGGTTTTGGAGCTTGGCCCATACCAGGCCTCTACTGCTTTGACCTTTATCTGTCCCCCAACTTCATAGAGCTGCAACATTAAGCTGCTATTGCTAGAAACACACTTTTTAATGTATAAATGTAACATAATGTGAAGCTCGGCCTCAGAAGTAGTGCTAAAAGGTGCCACATTATGAGAAGAAACATTTGAACTGTTAAAATCACTTTTACCTGAAAACTTTTCTGCTTGTTTCTGGCATCTTGTTGAGAACCTGATCTCTGTATGATTCCAGAGTTCCCAGCTCTACCACCTGCTTCCCTCAGGGCGATCCAACGGCTGAAAAAAACTCTATGCAAATAAATCCTTGATACCAACAAAGGCCGTGGGTTGCTGCCAAATTGATGAGCCAAAGGAAAAGAGAGGGGGTGTCGGGAATTAGGACACAGGATACTGTAATTTACATGCAGTTTGCATCTTGGTTGATGTCACAAAGGTGAGGTGAAAAAGACGAGAGCAGCAGAGTATCAGTTGCTTGCCTATTCTGACTTCATCTGCAAGTGTGAATACACCTGGCACCTGTGAGGTCGTTGTAAAGACACCGCAGTGCTTTAATCTGCAAGCCCGACTGTTGTAATGGACTGGAGTTAAGGTCCAGTCATGTCAGCCTGAGGCGTTAAACAGGAAAAGATCTAGATGATCTGTGGGATTAATTTATACAGTGTTTTGTAGCTGCGGCATTTCAAGGTTGTTGTGTTCTGAGGCTACACACACCTTTACAGTGAATACAGCTAAGGGTTATTTTCTTTATTTGCTAGATTAATTATTTGGTTTGTAAAATGTCAAGAAATAGTCAATAAGGCCCACCTTAGTTTCCCAAATTTCAAGATGATTTTCAGGTTTTCAAATGGCTTCAAATCTAAATATATTCTCTTTACTGTCACATAAAACAGAAAAACCGCAAGTGTTCACACAGGAGAAGCTGAAACTTGAGAATGTTGGACTGTGTTGTTTAAAAAATTACTTAATGACTCAATTATCCAAATAGTTGCAGATCAGTCTCACTGATCAACTCCTAGACTGGGTAATCGCTGCAGCTCTGAAGTTAATATTTATTTGTGTTTCTACAAACACTGCTGCTCCTTCCACTCAGCTCAGTTGTAAACATCAAACTTAATCAATGAGTGAAAGAGCAGATGGACTGATAAATGAATTGCCAACAAAGCGTGTCGAGGAGTTTGGTGAATGGTGCATTATGGGATGGCCCATGTTGCAGCCGTGCAGTGGTGGTGTCCTGTTGCCTGGAAGGTCAGAGGGCAGCCATGAATAAAAAATGTGGTTTCTCTGTCTGAGCACAGTGAGCTCCAGTTACTGTTTCACATCGACTGTGGGTCATACTGATGTGACGTACTGGGCTGCAACTAAAAAATACTGCCAGTTGTTTTCTCAGTATACCAGTGAATTGTTTTGTCCATAAAATGTCCAAAAGCTGAATAGTTCACATACGTTTCCTAGAGGCGAAAGCGACACAGTCTTCTTTTATCTGAGCACCCATCCAAACTGAAAGCATTTAGTTTAGTTTCTCAAATCTTAGAAGCTAAACATGAAAGTGAACCATTAACACAAAAAGATCCCAACCGAGCATTATGTGATGTGAACATTGATGTAGTGTTTCTGTTTTCTCCACATTTGGTCTCTAGAGAACATTTGTGGCAGGAGGTGAATGTGGGACAGAAGCAAAATAAACCACTGTGTGTTCATGGCTCACTGACATGTTTAATAGTGGAGTTCTGTGGCTCAGGTTTTAGCTACACAACCAGTAGTTGTTAGTGGGAAGAATTTAATTTTAATGAGATATGTTGATAAAGAGAAAAATGGTGAATATTTAAAAATTTGCTGGCCACCATTCAAACTTATAAGCCAGTGTAGAACTAACTGCTGTCATGTCTAACCATCCCCCACAGCTGCCTGATAAACACTGCCTAGTACCTAACACCGTGTCAGTCGCACAAAGGCCTTCATGTACTGTTTTAACCAAACAAGATAAGGGCCAGCATGACACTACGCATGCTGAAATCCCTGCGCTTCACCACAGGAACTGGTGTCATGTCTATTTTCAGTGAGCCTGACATGCCTGTGTTTTGTCACCAACAGTTGTTAACCCAGAGGTGTTAAAGCAGCCATTCAGTTACACGTCCCCTGCTGCCTCAAGAAGACTAGTAAAAACAAAGATAATACACTTAATTGTGCTTTTTGTTTATTGGCTTTTACAGACAGGATTACCAACGCAGTAGGATCTGCAGCTACTGTGAAAGAACTGTGATCTGTGTGGCTCGACCTTTATGTGTACCGAAGTGTTGCCATTGACCTTGTCTGTCCTCATTAGATGTCTCACACTGTATGATAATGAAGAATGATGAATGAATGGTGCGTACACTGTACGCAGCTTTACAGGGTCCTGTTAGACCTGCTCATTCAGACCGAAATCTATCTGTATTTTGGTCTGCAAATATTTCACAGACAATATGAAAAGAAAAACAAAATGGCAACAAAAAAGGCAGTTAATTCCAACAACAGTACAGCAACAGTTGTGACCCTTTGTAAAATCAAAATCGTGGGGGGTGGCTGTAAAAAAAAAAAAAAAAAAAAAAGTTGCACAAAGGCTTCGGAGGGAAACTGATCAAATTGCCTCAAGTGATGACTCAACATCCACTGGGAAAAATCTAGGGGGTGTGGAGTTATAAACAAGTGAGTTTACAAGACCACTGCCCCACTCTGACAGTACATTAGCTAACATGCCAGGATCTCTGACAGAACTGTCAGTGGTCGCGTTGCATTGTGGGTAAGTAGGCACCATGTATGGAGTAAATAAAACCCAGCAATCTTGCTGATTTTGATCCACTGTGACACTGACTGGTTTACATGCTAAAGCAGCGGAGTGAAAACAACTCATGTCATATTGGCTTCCTTTCATTTTAAATAGCATTTCAAATACTTTCGATTTTAGATGTTTATTTGCACATGGTTAGTAATGTACGAGCAAACAGTATGATTCAGTGGATCCTTAATTGTGATGGTTGTCATGCTCTCATTCAGGACCTTTTTAGGCTACCCAGGCGTTCAGACACCGGGAGCCACCTTTGGCCAGTAGTGTACGTACATGGTTTCTGCTTTGCATAAAACCAGTCAAACAGTCATGTTGACGCCGAGATATTTTGCTTTAGTCTGAGTTGGTATGAGCAGGGACAAAGTCAACGACATGCATGCCTTTAAAATGCCACAAGTGTCGTAGGCAGTGTGTCATGTCGCCACCAGGTCTGACTTATCTGCTAAAGGGAAGCTCTCACTGCTATTTGTTGCTCTGTGGGTGTTATATGTGGGGTCCTGCTCGTGTCCTTTAGTCACATGTAGGTGTAGGTCTGTCATGATTATAAAGGATCCCTAAACAATGAGATCATGGCTACAAGGGACCCAAGTTGTATTTTCATTTTATTTGTTTCTCCCCATTCTTGAAGGTATTTTTTTCTTCATGGCCTCTGACGTAATGTCTTCTTCCCCTTGGTCCCACGTTCAGCCCCAAACCACTCCCTGCGCTTGTCTCACATGCAGATGCGTGCTGAAGCACTGAATATGCTGGATAATGGAAATCAAGGCCTTTGAGATTTGTTGGTTATTGCCACGGTCCTGTTTATTTATGTGTACCTACATCTGTTTCACATTGCCATATTAATATATAGGACCTCACAGGGAGTTAAGCTCAACTGTCTGTGTATGTTTTGTTCCTGGGGTTTGTATTTCTCAGTCAGCACCCAGGACAGGACTCCACGTGGCACAGCTTTTCTCCGGTTTCTCCCTCTTTTCACATGGCCTGACATGAGCCAGTAAAGTGTGCCATGTGATACAGTGCATTCAGACGTGTTTTATTATCAGAGATGTTTTTATCTTTTCTACCAGCCCAGTAGGATACTGGGTTACATGTACAGGCATGTCTTTGGTCACTGCTCCTTGTTACCACCATCTGCTGTAGCTTGGTGGTATTACAGAGCACTGTAGTGATGGTCTAGATTAGGGCTTTTCAAACACTTTGATATATTTTGTTATATTTTGGTAGGAGGCTACCTCTGTGCTGTTCATATTGCCTGTCCCTCCTGCACTAGCCGGCTCTGCTCTCTCCTAACATACTCCTCTCTTCATGCATCTCTTCCTGACCCTCTCTTGCTGCTTCAGCAGTCCCAGTAAATACTAAAAATGAATTAATTGGATCACTAATTGCACTGGTCGGACTGATCAGCTTTCCCACGTGTATTGTTTTATATTCACCTGGACTGAGGAGGCAAACATTCGGTGTCAGAGTTTATGAACTAGCATTAGCTTTATCCATTTACACCCATGCTATATACAGCGTGCTAAACTTGGCAACAGCTGTATTCTACTCTTAGCTTGGCTAGCCTTACTAGCTGGCTAATAATGTATTACAAGAGTTGTATCTCTGTCATTGACAGCATTGTGTTAAAAAACAATCATTGAGATGAGGAGCTGAAACATTTTGAGCTTCATAAAGACAAATGTTAAGGCAGAAGTGTTGCATTGACGTGCACACAGATGTACAGGTGGTCATAATGTTGTGCCTGATCAGTGTTTATGTCTAGTATAATATTGAGGTGCAGTTGTCTCAGTTTTGTCTGAGGGATTTCAGTGTGACACAGCTTGAAAACCCCTGGTTTGTACTGACTAAACTTTGTTACCTCTGCTGTTGCAAATACTGTATATATGCTGGATGTACTTGCATTGACCCCATCAGATCTCTCTGGAGACGGAGCGTCTGGGTCCTCGTCGGGTGGAGAGCCTGAGGAAGGAGGATGAGGAGTGGGAGAAGAAAGCTCACGCTGCCGTACTGTCCATACAGGACCTGACTGTCAAGTTCTTTGAAACCACAACTAGAGCGCAGAAAGGTAAACACAGAGAGAAGGCGCTTCCTCTCTTTATAAAGCCCTGTGTTGTGACCTCTGACTCTTTCTACTGACAATTTACTCCATAACGAGGTGCAGTTAACACTCCATGTACACGGTACATCATGAACAGATCATGTAGGCCAACATAGGGGGCGACTGTGGTTCAGTGGGTAGAGTGGTCGTCTCTCGGTTGGAGGTTCGAATCTCAGTGCCTGCAGTCCACATGTCGAAGTGTCCTTGGGCAAGACACTGAATCCCCAAGTTGCCCCCGATGGTTAGACCCATCGGTTGAGTTGGCGCCGCAGATGGCTGCCATCGGTTCTGTACCGGAAACAAATTCCTTGTTTGTAACATACTTGGCCAATA